AACTTCTGCTGCGTCTGAAAACATCAGATCTGGATGGAGGATCCGGTCCACGTAACGTGGGCCGCCCCTGGACGTCACATCTGCCCCTCTGTTTAGAACACCGGATATGTAAACCGCTCTAATAAAGAGCAGGTTTTGATGAACCCAACTCAGTAGCTTTCGCACAATGTGTAACATCTGGGCTGAACGCACACCCTTGATGGTTATGTACGCAGCAGTCATCATGTTGTCTGTGTGAATCAACACGTGTTGATTCTGTAGCACAGGAGCAAAGTGTTGAATCACATTCAGTACTGTGCGACACTCCAAAACATTGATGTGGGCTGATGTGTAGTGGGGCCACAGCGCCCCTACTGCTTGAGATAGGCATGTCCCCCCCCCCCAGCCTGACAGCAACGTGTCCGTGAAGACTGACCCGTGACGTGGGTCTGCTGAGGGGGACTCCCTCTGACAGAAAACAAGGTGTTTCCCCAGAGTCGGAGGTCTGCTTCCACAGAGGAAGGGACAATGATCATCCGTCGTTTTGTTTTACTAGATCCACATGCAGACGTGCAAAACCCCTCTGGAGGCGTCTTACGTGGCTGAATTGACTTTTTAAACAGTGTCGAATCTAGTTGTGATAAACGAGTTTTCATGGTGGTTGAATTTAATTCCACTCCCAGAAACAAATGTCTGGGCCGGAAAAAATCGAGCCTCCTTCCAATTTATGGCGAAGCCCAGATTTAACAGGTGTGATGTCAACACCTGATCCTGCATCAGCGCCTCCTGTCTGAAGTGACAGGAGCAGCAGATCATCCAGGTAAAACAAAAAATTCTCGTCTCTGTGTTAGGATGATCGGTATGCGTTCTCTGGATGTTAAACAACAGATCCAAGAACGGTCTCACCCCTCCGATCCGTGAGTAAAAACCTTGTGTTTTCTCTCCCTTGGGGAACTCTGTAGATTACTTTTATCAGAAAACACTTGGATTTCTGCATTTAGGGATGAGAATCAGTCTGATGATGACGGGACCGTTTTTTTATAACTCCTCTGAATGGAGGGGTTCGGGTTGCAAACTGTAACTTGTACCATTTGCATAAACCCTGTCCATCCATCTGAAAAACGGCGAGCATGTTTTAGCCACTCTACGTAACGTTCGTAGGATGAACGTGCGTTAAGTGATGTGTCATGTTTTGTACGGCTGTCAGCAGTCCGTCCGTCAACCGCCGTCATGCGTCGCGGGAATGTTTTCTGTGTGACCCCGGGCGAGACTTGAGCTGAAGGCGAAGCGTGTGACAGCTGATGACGCGGTGGGGCTGCGCGTTTGACGTCGCTGTGCGAACGTTGAAAGGCGGAGGGCGTGACTTCGTTTACGCCGTGCTGTTGGAGTGAAGGCTGCTTAGCCCCGCGGGAGCACACGTTGTTCTCTGGAGGGACGCGCGCCGCTCTCGCTGGAGGGGCGCGCGCTGGAGGGAGGCGGGACTCATTACCGGGTTCTTCAGCTGCTTCACGTTTAAGCTGCGGTGAGCTGCCGAAAGCTGAGACGCGGTGGTGACGGCTGTCCGCGTTGATTCGTCGAGACGGGTGTCGTTTCTTGTGAAAGAGAAGGGCCCCCACCCGAACCAGCCTGCGGACCACATTTATACCGATGTGAGCTGGTTAGCGCCGGCAGCTGTGTGTGCGCCAGCATCAACGCAGCGCCGTTGGATGGAGGCTGTTCATCTTAGTGATCGACTCGTCATGTCAAGAGCGGCGGTGAGTTAAAACCCTATTTAAGGACACCGGCTCATGTGGAGGCTGTTCCATCCCACGAGTGCGAGTTGACACCGCTTGAGTGAGGATCGTGCAGTTCTAGTTGGTAATGAGTTATTTTCGCTTACCGTTGTGCCGTGATCGACCCGTCATGTCTAGAGCGACGGTGAGTTTAAAAACCTTTATTTAAGGACACCGGCTCATGTGTGGAGGCTGTTCTGTGATCGACTCGTCATGTCTAGAGCGACGGTGAGTTTAAAAACCTTTAATTAAGGACACCGGCTCATGTGTGGAGGCTGTTCTGTGATCGACTCGTCATGTCTTAGAGCGACGGTGAGTTTAAAAACCTTTATTTAAGGACACCGGCTCGTGTGTGTGGCTGTTTCATCCCACGAGTGCGAGTTGACATTGCTTGGGTGAAAAACGTGCAGCCCGGGATTATGACGAGTTATTTACACTTACCATCGTGCCCTGTAAGCGACTAGTAATGTCTTGGAGCGGCGGTGAGTTTAAAAGCCTTATTAAGGACACCGGCTCTTATGTGTGCGGCCGCTGTGAGCTCATCCGGGCTTACAGACTGGCTAAAAAACAGACACTTGATCATTAATGATGATTTATTTCAACTTTCGTGTCACTTTTACACACACCCTCCGGAGACCGTCATTTTGAGAAACTTCTCTCTCATGAGCTCTGCGATTGTTTGCCCAGAGCGCTGTCTTGCAGGCGAACTCTGGGGAAACGCTGAACTGCAGGCTGCCGGAGTGAAGAGGGCTGGATTCTGACGGGCGGGGCTGGTGGTGGAACTCAGCGAGAGCCGCGGCCGTGGAAAAGTCGAAGCTTGCTCGCGACGGTCCCTCCAGCGGGGACGGGGTGGGCCGCGCGGCTTGATGAGGTGGCGAACAGCTTGTGGCACCTCCTCCGACTGTTTCACTTCGCCAGCATGGTTTGAAGCTGCTCTGAACAGCGCGTCCGCGATGGCTTCATCAGGTCTTGTGCAGATTCTCCGGCAGCGAGGGGAGTAACGAAGCCAGGTGGATCGTTGGATCATTGTCCTCCGCGCTGCAGTCCTCGACAAGGCAAACCGTGGGAGAGGCACACATGTTGAGCTGGCGTCAGCTGCCTTACAGAGGGAGTTCTTCGTCTCCAAGGCAGGTCTGCGGCCTTCAATCCCTTGGACATGCTATATGCTAGCAGCGCACGTTGTTGCTAGCTGCGGCTGCCTGAAAACACGTCGGTGGGCTCGATTGGAGAGCGTGGTCGCCGTCTGGTTCCTCCGGAGGGACGGGACGCTGCTCCGACCTGGGCAGCTTCGCTCCGGAAGCTTCCGCGAGGCTTGGCTCCAGGGGGGGTTACCGAGGAATAGCCCCGCTCGGCGAATCCCTCAACTCTGGTGATGGGAGCGGACTGGGGACCGACTCCTCTAATCTACCAGGAAAGAACCGTCTGCGGCCTCGCCCGTCGAACATCCTGTTGGAACGTGAGGCCGTATGGATCAAGACGGTGAGCCACAGTGGAGCCCAGTGAAAAACAACCTTTCCGCCGATCATCCGAACTGGCGGGAAAAAGGCGAGGGACGTAGAAAAAAGGGGTCCCTTATGTCAGCCTCCTCCTGGGTTCCGCCGGGCAACCCCTGAGGGCGCTGTCGGCCGGGAGCGGTGTGATCGCCGATGCGAAACGAGGTGGGATGGGGTGAGCATTCACTCAGCCCCCCTCCACCTACACTACGCTCCCCAGGAGGGAATGAGCAGCGGGGGCTGCAGCTGAGCACGCCTTGCCCCGGAGGAACCATCCGGTTCGCCCCGAGGGTCGGCGATAAGAGGAAAAAACACAAGATGGCGTTGTCCAGCGTGTAGTGACCTGTCACTGGGAAATGTTCCCCGACGCTTACCTTGGAATAAGACTGCTGTCATCTTCTCCTCGGGGAGGAGAACTCACCGGACGACCGGAGGTCGACTGCCGGGCCAAGCATCCTTCACAAAGGTTGGTCATTTACACAATTTATCTTCTTTGTTCTTCTGACAGTGCTATATTAGCTCGCTGAAGAAAAAATGGGAGCCGATTTCCCGCTCTTAACGTAATTTATACGGACCGGGTGGGGCCCACACAGCAGGTGGGCGTGGACTAATTTTTTTCAGTGCTTATGCTCTGCATAACGGGATAAACCCACTAAAGCGAAGGCCTTAAAGGGCGAAGCTTATACGACATAGAACAAATTGTCTGCCAAGTTGTGCCAACACATTGCAGACACAAACACTAATGTTACATCCTTCGCAGTGACTAATTCTTTTGACAAAGTAAGGGAAATTGGGCAATTTCTACGGCACACCTGATGATTTCTCTAAAAAAAAAATCACAGCTCTACAGGATGGATGGGAACAAATTTGCACAGAAACACTCCAAAGTCTTATGAAAGTCCTTCAAAGAGAGTTTCAGTGGGAATTTGTGCCCATTCAAGCTGTACAGCATTTATGAAGTTTGGTGTTCTGGTGGATGAGATTGTCTTTGTCCGAGTTCATCCCTAACCTGCTCAGTGGGGCTGCTTTGTTTACATGTGGTGCTATAAAACAACAACAACAACAACAACAACAACAACAACAACAACTTTTCCTTACTTTTTGGGGTTTGGTTGGATTTAATGGTCCTAAAGATTAACAGAATGTTACTAGTGATGTACAGCACCAGAAGGGATGTACTACTCATTCAAAATTAATTTCTGCCACAAAAACAATCTGTCACATTTAATACTTCTACTGATAACATCTCATTTATTTTTAACAGAGCTACGAAGCAGAATCAAGTGCACGTGGTTATACTCATGCAGTCAAAAACAAAAATGGATCCGTTTCTTTGCCGTCTTTATCCAGAAGGTTTCTTCCTTTGAAGGACGTTAATGGAGATGTGAAGTGGAATTTAGGATAAACGTTTTTTTTATTTCTGTTATGAATTCACTCGTCTAAAAAATAACAATATTGTGTGTGTGTGTTTGTTTCAGGTTACCTTGTAGAAACCAATTTTACAAAAAATAATATATTGTGGAAACAAACTACTCTTTATGGAGACCAAAGCCAGGTCCCCATAAGGATAAGTCTTGTTGGGGGGTCAGGTCTAGGATTAAGGTGTAAATTGTGGCTGGGTTAGGGTTAGGCATGTACTAGTAATGGTTAGGTTTAGGGTAAGGGTCAGGGTTAGGCTGTAGAAAATGAATGGAAGTCAAAGCAAAGTCCCCCAAAAGTAAGTTTACAAGAACGTGCGTGTGCGTGTCTGCTTTACCCGCTGAGCACTAGAAAACAGCCTGTGGATGATTCTGCCAATAAGGCCCTGGCCAGCTCTGACCACCACCACCTCTGGTTCTTCAATCAAGGAGTTTACAAACCTGCAAACAAATAAATGAAATAGCAATTAATTAAGTAAAACAAAGGGAACTATTTACACACACAAATGACTTCCAGACGTATCCTGTTTGATTTGGTTTTCCATGACAGTGATGTTGAGACTTGCATCATGAAAGAACCCCTTCTTTTATGACCTCGGACCTACAGTCATCAGCAGTTGTTCTGTTCCGTGTTAAAGTTCATTTTCTTATGACAGAACCCTTGTTATGTTTGGATAAATTGTTCTCCAAGGCTTCACAAAATCAGAATATCTTATTAGTAGAGGAATAAAATGAGATGGTGTAGTTGTTCATCTTTGTTTCATGGTATTTTGTTGAACCCAAGTTTAAAAATGTACATTTGTCTAAATCTGTTTTGTAAAGTCCAGCAGTGGCAAAGTGAAAGCCACTGTTGAAGAAAACTCATAATGCTCTACTAGAGTCCCTACACCATCTAGACCAAAGGTCGGCAACCCGCTGCTCTTTCATCCCACTGCTTCAACACCCTGTGACTTTGGAAAATATACGATGAGTATTTAATTTAAATGTATTTTTATTTTAATTTGTTCATTTTTTAAATGGCGCTCCACTAACGTTGAGGAATCATATCCTGGAGAGAAGGCCTGCTAACATACAAAAAAAGCTCTCCGTAAAGCTAGAACTTTATATTATTCATCTTTAATTGATGAGAATAAAAATAACCCCAGATTCCTTTTCAGTACCATAGCTAGTCTAATGAAAAATCCTCTCTCTGTTGATTCATGTATCCCTACAACTACAATCAGTGATGACTTCATGAGATTCTTATAAATAAAATCGTTTCAATTAGGGAAAAAAATTGAAACCAACATTCCTAGTATCGCCTCTGGTTCTATGTCAGATGAGACAATTTTAAAAATGTAACTAGAACCTGGACTTCTGATGTCATGGCAACCAAGACGGCAGCATAGACAGGAGGTCCTGCATCGATGGAGATAAAAGCCCCCCTAATTCGAGTTGCTAGTATGCTAAAAGTAAGTTTTATTCAACAAAAATTAGTGGGGATAAAAACAAGAAGGGACGAGTCCTGCCTCGGAGCTCAGAAACGTGACATGAAAGCAAAGCATGTGGAGCCCGCTCAGATGAAGTAGAGAAAATGGAGGATGGGGCCTTGCCAGCTACGGTTAGCTCACTGAAACAGGTGGTGGGTGAAGTGGTGGCGGAGGGCATACGGGACCTCACATCGGAAATGAAGGAGTTATTGCAAGTGAGAACGAGCTTTAAAGAGGACATTAAAGCCCAAATGAGTGAGCTTACAAACGAAATAAACCAACAGATTAGCATCGTTGGCAATAAGATCGAGGAGGTGGGTAAGCGCCTGGAGGAAGCGGAAAGGAGCATGGCAGAGAAAGAAACATGGGATATTGGAGTACAAGATGTTATAATCCAACTGCTGAATGACCAGAGGTTGCTTCAGGGAAAGATCACGGACTTGGATCATTCATGCTGGAATAACCTACGGATATATGGCATCCCTGAAAACGCAGAAGGCACCTCTCTTCAGAGGTATATGGAAAACATGCTTAATGCTGAACTCTGGGACAGTTTGGATCTGGGCGGTGAGAAGAGTCTGGGGATAGAAAGAGCCCACAGAGCGCTGGGTGTGCAGCCGCCGGCGAGTGCTCCACCTTGGTCAATAGTGGTCAGTTTCTTGAAATTTAACAATAAAGAGCAAATCCTACGCACTGCATGGAAGAAACCAATATACATAAAAGAGAAACGTATATTCTTTGATCATGATTATGCTGAAAATACACAGATGAAAAGGAGGGAGTACGGTCCCGTTAAGAAAGTGCTCAAGGAGAACGAGATCCAGTTCCAAACTCGGATGGATAAAATACGCGTGCACTACGAGTCAGGCATGGTCATCTACAACAGCGCGGAGGAGCCTGCGGTGGATCTAAGGAGACGTGGATTTGCGGAGGGACCGGTGTCCACAAGAAAACCCAAAATCATCACGGTGGAGACGATCAAGAATCTTCTACCAACGGATATAGTAGGACCGCGACGCACTGGGAGCACACGTGGCGTGAGGGAGAGCGCATGGGAGAAGTTGAAGGTGTTCCAAAGGTCAGGAGGAGAGGAGATCGCTATGGATGGATAGTGTTCATCTTATCATCTGTGAAGAACTATTGGATCACCGCTCAGTAAGAGTTTATTACTAATTGATTAGGGATGTTCTGAATGTTGCTGGCTGATCATCCTCTATCCAGGAAGAAGGTGAGGAATGGGATTCCCTTCAAACAGGAGTGGTGATGAATCGATGCAGGTGACTCATATTTTTTTCAGTTTCCTCTCTTTAAGTAGGCGACTAAGTACGGGCCCCACCTAGTGGCAGTTTCCCCTACACCAGTCCTTCTCAAATAGTGGGGCGCTTCCGTCTGCTGCTGAGCAGCTGGTGACGCTCGTCACCTGCTGCACGCGTTAGTTACCTGCCCCACTTTCACTTTAACGTTTTTTTTGTTTGTTTTGTCAAAGCACAATTTTGATGTTTTTTTAATACAGAAGTAATGTTTAATAAATGTTAGGACTCTATTCTTTGCTAACAAAATATATTTTATGTCATTAAACAACAAGGTTCTTCTCTTGTGAGCGCGTTCCACTGGACAGACATGCACGCACGCACGCACGCACGCACGCACGCACACACAGCCTGCTCGCTCTTGTGCCGTTTGCAACTTCTCTGCTGCTCTGAAGTCCAGGTCCAGCCAAGGCCGGATTAACCATATGGGCAACTGCCCAGGGGCCCACGATCTCTAAGGGGCCCAGGGCAGTGAGGGCACAAGCAGAATATCTGGTTATCTCCTGCTTTACTTGGAGCTCTGCGCTGCATTTGTGCAGCCCCGCCTCCTCCCAGCTGCTGCAGCTATGTTGTTTGTTTGTTTTCTCAATTGGTGCGACCTGTCAATCAACTCAGAAGGCGTGTCAGTAACTGACCAATCGACGACCTCAATTTGTCCCGAAGGTAAACGCCCCTTACCTGCTGACAAGCTCATCAGTTTTTTTCTTGAGAAACATAGTTTTAATTAAAACAATAAGTTTGTATCTGTTGTGAGATGATTCTAGCAGTTTTGCAGATTTTTAATCTACTTAATGAAGAACAGTTTGACTTAAAATTGTTCATCAAACAGGAAGGAGGGATTATTATCTCTCCTCTTACTACAGTGAATGTGGTACTTTGCTATAAGTACGACTTTATTTATGGCATCAGAGAAAGCTGAGCTTCAGTTATCCACATAAAGTAAAATGGCATCAGCATGAAAAGAAGGAATGTTAAGTTTGAGATTAATCCAGTTTCTGATATCTGACCAAACACTTTGTAATGACATGAAGAAAACATATTCGAGGGATTCATCTTCTGATTTACAAAAGACACAAATCAACCTCAAATTTAAATCTTCTTTGCAGAAACATGGCTACAGGATATATCTTATTTATTATTTAAAATGATTCTCCTTCACTTGGAGATTTAGACCATTTGACAAATTTAGAATGAGCAGAAGTCATTATGGTTTTATGATTTATACTGGGAGGTTTCTTGAAGGAATCTTTGTTATAATCAGTAAATCCTTTGTCTCAAACATTCATTGATAATCTTATTACATTTGAAGTCAACTAAGTTACAGATATTTAATTTTAATGTGGGCATCAAATCGTCACCTTTGAATATATAATATTTTTAATTCATTGAATCAGCTGTTGGTCAGGTTACTTCTTGTTGTGCCATTAGCTCTAAAATAGTTACTGAATCAAGTGTTTACTTCCATCCATCTGCGGGGGTAGCAGCCTCAGTGGGGAGGCCCAGACTTCCCTCCCCCCAGACACTTGGACCAGCTCCTCCAGGGGAATCCCAAGGTGTTCCAAGTGTTTACTTATGTAGGTAAAACTAGATGTTACACAACCATTAAAATACACCAGAATACAGGAAATGGCATCTACTTTATTCAAAATTTTCTGGGGGAGGACCCCCAGACCACCCCATCAGTATGATCTATATTTCTATCTTTTTTAAATTTAATGTTAATAAGGATACAATGTTATGTAGAGGTGTACTTATAACAATTTTATAGACAAATTATACTATTTACAGTCGTGGCGGAGAGTTGGGGGGGGAGGGGGGGCGCGAAATGTTGTGTAACAGAAAATAATTGAGAAGCACTGCCCTACACCAAGAGGAATAAAAGATCCTCATCTTTGGAAGACCTGTTCATTGTTATGACAAGTTCAGTCATTATGTGTTTTTGGTTTTGGTGTATTCAGAGGGCTAAGAGTGTTGTTACACAGGTGCAAGAAAACATGTTAATAATGCTTAGAAGGTGTGCATGTTAGAATTGGTTTATTGCAAGAAACACATTTGTCAAACGAAGAACATGAAAAATTAAAGGGGTTGGGTTACAGAAACATATTTTGCCTCTCACAGATCTGGGGGAAAAAAGAGATGTAGCCATTCTGATATTAAACAATATTAGGTTTGATTGTATAGAAGAACATGTAGATAAAGAAGGCAGAATTGTGTTGCTGAAGGGGAAACTGGAACAAGAGGTCACGTTGTGTAAGGTCTATGCACCCTCTGGTAATAGTACATATATATATTTTAAGGAGTTATTTAGTCTAATAGCTGCAAAAGCAAGTGGTATGTGTATATGTGCAGGTGACTTTAATTTACTTTTAAATCCAAAACTTGACACAACCAGTCAAAAGTGAAGAAGGAATCACATGGAAAAAAAATTTAATAAAATCCTACAAGAACTGGGACTCATAGATATATGGAGATATTTCCATAATCATGATTGTGAATTTACCTTTTATTCACCTACGCATAACATACATACAGTACTAGATTTGATTATTTCTTTATGTTCAATAAGGATCTTCACAGAGTGGAAGATTGCATGATAGGACAAAGAGACCTCTCCAATCACTCGGGTCTTACTATGAAAATTAGTTTAATAATTATTATTTTT